CACAGGTTTTGTGGTGAGCGGCGTAGCGAACAGTGAACGGCCACAGAAAATGGGGTGCACCGGCATGGATCATGGAGATACAAGCCACCTCTATGACCAAATGGATGCGTCGCTCAGCGACCCCATTCTGTTGTGGGGAGTCCAGCAAGATGTACGACTGGCCAAGCCAACTGGAGGCAAGCTCACCGCAACGGTCGAAGTGGAGACGCAGCACCCGGAGGTCGCGGTGGACTTGTGCAGCACGACCCACGAGATAAGAACGTCAGGCACGTCGGCCTTCCGCTCCAGGGGAAACACCGTGATGTAGCGCATGTAGTCGTCGACAAGCACTAGAAAGTAGCGCTCTCGACGCGGCCCAGGGACGGGGGTTGGGCCCCAAACTTCCAGGTGCATGGTCTAGTGTGGCGCAGTGGTAGGGGAAAGCAAGGAGGAGTGAGGAGCATGGCACAGCCAGCCCTCGACGCAAGGCGTGCACGGCAGCGCAGGCGAGGGAGGAAGGGAAGGGAGCGACGCAGGGTCCTGGGGGAATGTGGTCAGAGGGGCACCAATGGTGACCTCGGTATAGACCGCATATCGCTCGTGTCTGGGGAACGTAGTTGTGACGCCAAGGTCCTGAAGACAGCCAACACCAATTAGGTTCCTAGAGAACGAGGGGATGTGCAAGCCTATAAGAGAACCTGAGGTGACCGCTGGACACGGAAGGGTGGTGGAGCTACAGGCAACTACCAAACCTGAGGAGGGGTCAGCAAGTGCGACAGCGCCAGGGGCGGCAAGCGGCGAGAGCGCAGTGTGGTCGTGGAAGAAGCAGGCAGACGCTCCAGAGCCGAGCGTAAAAGAGAGCGAAGCAGTGGCATCACCCGCCGGAGGGGCTAGCGTGGAGCCGAGGCTAAACAAGGCAGGGGGCCCTACACCTGACACAGCAGGGGAACCTAGGCTACACACAGTGGACACACCTACACTAGGCAATACTGGATAATTGGGTCCAGTCACACTAGAGTCATCAGCATCCATGACATACATAGCAGACATAATCTGATCCATGTCAAGCTCAAATACAGGCACATGGCGGAGCACCAGGGCGTACCAATCAGGCGGGTCCGACGTGGGACCGAAGCGGAGACGGAAGAGGTCGTCGAGGCGGTGGTAGGAGCGAGCGGCAGGTGTGACCGGGACGGTTGCAGACGGTGCCGGGGGGGGGTGAAGCTGGTAGTGGCAGGTGACCACACTCGAGCCGCCACCCGACACCGAGCTGCGCCCCCCACTACCACGTCCACGTCCACCAGCGCCGCCAGGCCACCATGGCGGCGGGGGTCCCCACGGCGGCTTCTGCTGCTGCTGCTCCTGCTGCTGGTGAGTCTGCTGCTGCTCCACGGCACCAGCCACGGTCCCCTTATCAGAACCACTGTCCCCGCCCCCACCTCCACCACCCCCACCACCCTTCCCTCCACCACGCCCCCCCTTGGGAGGCCCCGACTCTAACTTGGCTGCGCTGAGGCCGCAGCGGCGGTCTCAGCAGCAGGGCTGTCTCAGCGATAGCGGCAGAAACATCAAAGTAAGTGCACTGGGAGGGAGCACAGCCCTGAAAGACAGGGACCGCCGCAACACCGCTGGATTGGGCGATAGTGCGCTGGCTGGTCTCTATCGCGGACAGGGCGGTAACAAAGGCGGTAAGGTGAGGTCACCTGGGTGCTGACTAAGGAAGTGGTCGCCGGCAATGGCTAGGCGGTCCGGTAGGCGAGTGGCAATAAGGTAGAGGGTAGCGTAGAGTGGCGGTGGAAAGGCAGTGAGCTGAGCCTCAGTGCTACCGGCGCGGTAGCTAGCCTCAAGTGCGCGGAGGTGAGTTGCAAGATCGGCGACAGTGGGGAAGGACGCAAGATCAGGGAACAGCATGGGGAGGATCAAGTGACCAGCAGAGGCAGAGGCGGGCGTGGAATTCCTTGGCGTTCGTTACAGTGGTAAAGCGAGGACCCTCAGACAGGGGGAGGGCGTGACTAATAGCAAGCTACATGTCGGCGTCGTGCGACTCCCAGACAGCGCGAGCAAGCGCAGTAGCGGAAAATGCCTCACGCTCAGCAGTTGTGGGGGCATCAGGGAGGGCAGCAGGCGCAGCAGGGCGGGGAAGCGCGCCATCGACATGAACAGCCAGGGAGTAGCCGTCCTAGTGCTGACTTGTCAGGTGACGGCGAAGGTCGACGAGCCACGCCTCGAAGTCGATCGCCCGCCCCTCCGCATCCAGGTGGAGCACAGTGTCCACCATCCTACATGGCGGCACGACGGCCCGACGACACGGCGGGATGACGGCACGGTGACACGACGGCACGGCGCCACAGCGGCACGGCGGCACGGCGACACGGCGACATGGCGACACAGCCGCACTGCAGCGCAACGGCACGGCGGCACAACGGCCCGGCGCCACAGCGCCACGGCTCCACGTCGTCACTGCTGCACGGCGGCACAGCGCCACGGCAGCACGACGGCACGGTGGTACAGCTGCACAGCGGCGCCGCAGCACGGAGCGAAATCGGGGCCAGCGAGCGCGGGGCGAGCGGGTGCAGGGTCAGCAGGCGCAGGACCAGCAAGCGCGGGCTGGCGAGCGCGGGGCCGACAGGCATGGGGCTGGCGGGCGCGAAGCTGGCGAAGGCGGGGCCAGCAAGGGCAGGCGAGCGGGTGCGGGGCCAGCAGGCACGGGGCCAGCGAGCGCGGGGCTGGCGAGCGTGGGCCAGCGGTCGCGGGGCTGGCGGGCACGGGGCTGGTGTGCACGGGACGGGCAGGCGCAGGGCTGGCGAGCGCGGGGCCGACGAGCGCTGGGGCTGGCGGGCGCGGGGCTGGCGAATGTGGGGCTAGCGGGCGCGGGGCCAGCAGACACGTGGCTGGTGATCGCGGGGCCAGCTGACGCTGCGGGTGGCTTCGAGCGGCTAGCTACGGGCGGCTAGCAGCGGCCGGCTAGGGCTAGGGCTAGGGCTAGGGCTATGGGTAGGGCTAGGGCTAGGGCTAGGGCTAGGGCGGAAACGTGGGTGGGCAGGATCCTAACCTAGCGTGATACCATGTTAAAGTAGAAAAGATTAACTAGAATGAGGGAAACATGGGGTTTTGTCTAAGTGGTTGTACCCTCTAAGAGTACACACCTATCTAGCCTATAAGACATGCAAATATGTTTGACACCTGGTTCATGTACATGTTAGGTGTTGGAAATATCTCAAAGGACTTAAGCGTTTCTGAAGTGTAACACTGCACTCGAGGAAGATCACAACGGGTACGCGAGTCAACGGAGGTTACGAGGGGGCGGACAAAGAACGCGAAGGGACTCGAAGGGTTGCAACTGGAGGTTGCGACTGACCGTTACAACAGCACGGATGGTAACCGAAGCGACAATCGAGTCGCTGTGCGACTCGATAACCGCTCCTGCAACTGTATTCTACAACTGCTTTACTTTCCTATTTTCTATATATTGCTGTATGCTTGTTTCTTTAATCAATCACTTGTTCTCATATACTAGTACAAGGGTTCAACTGCCTCAACTTCCGCTGCACTACTCAAGTCTCATTCTACAACTGGGACTTAGTCTCTGGAAAGATTCTAAGGGTTTTTCTCAGCCCAACATGGTATGAGAGCTGGTCAGAGACCAAACTCCCAGCAACGACACTCTATCTACAATCTGCAATTCAACGACTTCATTAATTACAAGCCATGGACAGCAAGGGCAAGAAGACCTCTACGGGCTCACCCAGCAACCAAGACATTCAACCCGACAACTCTGGATTGCATACTTCAGGGCTGCAAACCGAGACCGGCGCTGCTCAAAAAACAACAGGAAGAGCACCGGAAATGGTGACCCCATCACCCTCTTCAAGCGTGGATCCGAACCTTATGGAAAGGTTCTTCAGCTTCATGTCGCACTTCGACCAGCAGCAGCAGACAAGGACACCTGCGTATTCAACACAGAGCAACGGAGGAAACATGGGATTAGCGCCGATGAGCCTCGACAATTCATCGTTCGGGCGACACAATCAAGCGCCTACCTTTGCGCCTTATCACTCTTCACCAGGGACGTTCGAGTTCATGCCGCCCCGTGCCCAACCAACAGCAGCTGCATCACAACAAACACCAAACGAGATTTTAAGTCTCCAGGCGCAGTTTTCACACGTGATTAAACTGCAGACATCATCACCATTCAACGGACACGATTTCTTTACCTGGAGTTTTGAGTTCAAGCTGCTGATGGAGGCTGCGCATCTCCTGGGATACTTCAATGGGTCCCTGCCATTCCCAAGCAACGGCACTGCAAAGGAGCAAGAAATATTTACTTATCAGTCGCTGCTGGCGTACACAGTTCTCCTACGGAACCTGTCACCACAAGAACAGCAGAGCATCAGAACATATCGGAGCTATGGAAACTCCGCGGAACTCGCATGGCATCATCTCAAGTGTCTCTATCAAGCAAACGACAGCGTGACACAAAGCAGACTCATGCAACAACTGACAACAATACAGATGAAGACAGGGGAAAAGGCGATGCAGTATATGAGTCGCTGCCAGACCCTCCGCGACCGCCTGCTTCGGTGCGGAGGAACAATCACTGAGGAAAGCTTCGTGACGCTTGTCCTCGCCGGGCTCGGACCAGAATGGAGAACCACACGCTCGCTTCTTCTTAGGAGCAATTCTTAGGGCTTTTCTCAGCCCAACATTACGAATATATATTTGTATAACTACAGTAGCCTAGCTAGGTGCAGTTCTTAGAGGGAACACCTCTTAGATATAGTACCACTCCTGTATCCCGATCCCTTAGACACAGAAGAGAGGTCTAGGAAAGCACTTCAACTTGTCTAGGAACCCTGCATGTCTATTGTTCCTGGTTTTGTATGCAACCAATACAATGTGGTATCACACAGAAAGGCTTTACGCAAGGCGAGTCCGGTGAAGGCCAAACGGGCATGCCCCTACACAGGATGCATCTGCTGTTGGCACGTTCCCTGGTCACAAGCAAGAATGAAGACAAAAAGGTGGCATGCTTGGAACATGCCTTGTATAGTGATTGTTACAAAATTTCAATGACATCCATCATAACAATTGTCCTGTGCATGATCATTCGTGAAAAACCCATTTTCACTTCCCGACAGCATGACCTGCCACCACCACCCACCACCACCCCCCACCTGTCCACCTGCCTTGCAGCCTGGTGGACACCAGCGCTGTGTCCGTGTGGCATCCTCAGTCCATTGAGGTGATCACTGTACATGCGCCTATCCCCCATCCAGCCCCTCCATCCCCCCCATGCCAGCCACCTGCCCGCCTTCAGCGTACTCCCCCGCGTGCCCCATGGCCAGCTGCCCATTCGCCATGCCTGCACCCATGCCCCCCATGCCCACTTGTATATGCGATGGGGCCTGCATGAACTGAGCCCCAATGGCCCCTCCGCCCATGCCTGCCATGCCCATGCCTCCTGCCACTGCTCCCCCCATGCCTCCCATGTGTGCGGCTGCAGCAGCTGCCGCCATGTCGTGTGAGTTGGGCCGTAGCTCCGCTGCTCCCCCTGCCCCTGCGCCCCCTGCACCGCCCATGCTCTCCATGTGCCCCATCGCCCGGTACTGCAGCGATGAACCCATGCCTGACCCTGGCATTCCAGAGCCTGGCATGCCCGAGCCTGGCATGCCCGAGCCTGGCATGGACGCTGACGCGAGGGTGGATGGAGGCATGGGGTAGAGCGCTGAGGGTGCAGCTGCCATCATGGCAGCGGCGGCGGCTGCTTGAGGGGGCATCATCATGGAGAGAGGGGGGGGGGGCGTCGATGCATCAGTGCGCATGGCAGGCATGGTGGGCGGGTGCGCGACCATGCCCATGCCCATGGCGCCTGCTGCTGCTGACCCCGGCACCAACCCACTGCCACCCGCTGCCGCTGCTGGCCCTTGCGCCATGCCTGCCGCTGGTAGGTGCGCCGCTGAAACTGGGGGAGGGGAGGGGGCAGCAGGAGGTCAACAGAAGAGGCTAAGAGGCAAGGATGTGGGGTAGCGATGCAGGCAAGGGGCAAGGATGGAAGCGGCGAAACTGGGGAGAAGCACAAGGGGTGCTGTGGGAGGGGGCAGCAGGAGGGCGACACAAGCAGCTACGAGGCTCACTTGCGTAGAATGGGGCATGCAGGGTGAAGATGCGCACTACGTGTATGCAAGGGGATGTCGGGCAGTTACGTGGGGATCATGGAATTGGGGGGACGGGAGCTGTCGGGGGGGAATGCACAACCATGGTGGTGGAGGAGCAGGCCTGCAGGCACGCACGGCAGGGTTGAAGGCCATGGCAAGGCTTGCAGCCTGGCGGGCGGAGAGTCATTGTTTCTCGCATGGAGAGGTGGGCATGGAGAGGTGGGCGCACAGGGGTGGTGGGGAGGATGGAGGGAAGAGAGGGGGAACCAGGACGAGATGGAGGGGACGAGGGACCAAGGCAGGACAGAGGAGAGCACACGAGGGAGAGGGAGAAACGTGAGGTCGGTGAGCAAGGGGCGATGAGAAGAGGAGAACGCGTATGGAGTTAGGGCGAGAGGGAGGGAGGAGTACAGAGGTAGTGTGTGCGAGCGAAACCTGGTGAGGTCGAGTGCGCTTCATCACGGCGCACCTTGAACTTGAGAGAGTAGGTGCGTGCGACTGTGCGGGTGAGTGGGACACAGGAAACACGCACACTGCCCCCCCTTCTGTGCTCCTCTCTCCGCTGTACTCACAGCTGTCCATCTCCCGTTTGATGCCGCCATACCCCTGACCGCCCATGCCGCCCCCCCCGCCTCCACTGCCGTACGCGCCTGGGGCAGCAGCGCCGCCGGGCAGCATGGTGGTATGCGCCGCGCCGCCCACCAGCCCCGCCATGCCCGGGAGATACGACGCTGCTGCCATTTCCGCCGCTGCTGCGGCCTGCGCGTGCGCTTGCGCTTGCGCCTGCGCAGCCTGGGCTTGCGCCTGTATCTGCGCCTGCGCCTGCGAGTGTGTGAGCACGGCGGAGCTGCCCGCCAGCGTGCGCAGGCGCGAGATCTCCGCCTGCGACATGGCGAGCTCCGCCTGCAGGCGCACCACCTGGCGGGGCGAGGGACAGAGAATGGGGGAAGCCGGGGTTACGGGGAGAGATGGGCGGAAGGATCGGGGGCGAGGAGGCAAGGGGGGGGGGGGGGGGGGGGGGGAATTAGGTCGTGCGAGGGGGTTTGCGCAATGCGCGACCTGCCCTCCTCCCGCGCCTCCTGCCCTCGCGCTCGCCGCCTGCCCTTGGCGTCCTTCCCTCGCCGGGGCGGGTGCGCGGATATCACGCGGGCGGAGTGGGGCGCGCGGGCCTCACCTGCTGCTGCAGCGCGAAGAGCGCGCCGACGCAGCCGTAGACGGGGTCGCTGATGCGCGCCTCCGCCTCGTACGACAGGCTGTTCACGGCGTCCTCGCGGCTGGGCGGCGGCAGCTCCTGCAGCAGCTTGCCCACGTTGCTCGCGCCGAATATCCGGTGCACGTTGGCGAAGCGCAGGCTCTGGTCGGGCGAGAAGTAGGCGGCGAAGATGCACGTGCTCGTGCACTTGCGCCGCAGGAACTTGCACGCGCCGCACGGCGACACCGACGCCGCCGCCCCGCCACCGGAGGCGCCGGACGCCGCGGGGGCGGCGCTGCCAGTGAGCGTGGGCGTTGTGGCCGCCGACGACGGCCCACCGCCGACGGCAGTAGCGCCGGCGGGGCTCGCCCCGGCGCAGCTCGACGTCGCGCCCACCATGGACGCGCCACCGCCGCTCGCCCCGCCACCCCCTCCGCCATTCTGAAGCCCCAGGCCGTCCCCTCCGCCACCCCCCCCCGCGGCGACCTGCCCCGGTGGCGCCGTGGAGGACTCGAGCATCGCCTCCGCTGTGCACGCGGAGAGGTGCCCCTGTGGTGCGGCAGGGGCGGCGGACTGCGCCGGATGCGGCGCGTCGGGCATGGCGGAGGGTACAGGGAGCGCGGCGGGCGGGAGCGGCGGCATATGAGGAGGTTGCGAGGCGGGGAGCGGCGCGGAGGTGTGGAGCGCGGGCGAGGAGTCGAGGAGGAGCGAGTGGCTGCTGGGGACCGATGTCATGTGCGCGTCCATGGCGGGGGGACGCCACGCGCGGAATACGATGCGTTAGGGGGAAACGGTGGCGATGGCGATGGCGATGGCGATGGCGATGGCGAAGTGAATCTGGGGAGGAAAGCGAAAAGGACTGCCTGCCCAATGCGACGCGCGCCTCGCACTCGACGGACAGGCAGCCCCCGTCCAACGACGCAACTCGCCGCGCCGTTAGCGCGCCGCACCGCACCGCACTGCAGCAGCGGTGTACACCGCGATCCACAGCTGCTGAGCGAAACGAGTCGAAGGAAGAGCCGAAGCTCCCTTGGCTAATCGACGATCTCCGTATCTACGCCGCTCGCCGCTACGCAGTGAAATTCCGATCTTCTGGCAGATAGGGCGGTTGCCGTGAGGCCGAGGCGGCAGCAGCAGCCCGAAAATACGGTCTTGTGGCGATGGCTTACATAGTGGCGGAGGTCGCGAGGCACCTCGTGCGAAGGAAGAATCCCCAGCACAGAAGGTCACACGCTGCCCTACCGAATTCCAGTGGTGAATTCGTCGAGCAGGTTGTTAGAAGGCCCCAACTGACGATCGAGAGTCACAATCTAGGGTACTAGAGACAAAGCCAACTCAGCCAGAGAGTGCCAGCAAGAATTCGCCGACGAGAAGCGCAGATATACACAGTGGAGAAGGTTGAAAGGCTGGGCTAATCAGCTGGAAGCGCTTCAGGGATGGTGCGATTGCGACGAACGAGCGAGCAAAGGTCAGACCCAGGCGGCCCTCTCAGCCGAGATTGGCCAGATTCGACTGCTGCTGTGGACGAACAGTTTCGCACACCGGCCAGCGACGACTGCAGTTCGTTCACTCAGCAGCTCCCTCACATCCTTCTCGCCTTGCGCCATCTTCCCGCCCCTCGCAGCCATTCAGCCGAGGAAATCGCGCGCTTTGAAGAGAATCAAGAATTTTTTTAAAATGGTCGACGCTTTTGTTGCGCGAACATGGATTTAATGGGTCGCGACAAGAATCTGCCCGTGCCTGCCTGTCCCCTGAACCTGGCGTGAACGCGCTTGGAGTCATCTGACTCTCACAAGTGTCGGGGCTTACGTTTGGTTTTTTTGGCACCCGTCAGATCTGGGGATCTGGCCAAAGCTACCCGTCAGAATCCGTGTTCAGCACTCTGTTCTGTCAAAATCACCCATCAAATCGGGGTTTCACAGCCAGTTCTGCCAAAATGCACCCGTCAGAATCCGGGTTCAAGCCTTTTTTTGGGAAAAGTTCCCCGTCGAAATCCGAGTCAGCGAAAACCTCGCCCCCTATTTTGTCGAAATCCGGACGTTGTGCCCAAAATGATTGCGCGTGCCTTTTTCGAATGCCACAGCCCCCAATGTGCCGTCATTGTTTGTCGTATTGATCTGTATTGGACCCTACACATGCTGCCCAGACCAGTTGCCCCGAAAAAACGTAGTGGCAACTGAATCAAACACGAAAACGGGTACAATCGGGGGGGTCGACCGTTTTGGGTAACGGGGTCATGCCATACATCGCGCACAAGAAGGGTCGACCGTTTTGAAACATTATTAGTTTTCGTCAAAGCGCGCGATTTCCTCCATTCAGCCCCCCTCCGCATCGCGAGGTTTTGATTTGAGGTTTTGCCCTGAGGGACTCTCTTCGGCTGGCGATTGGCGACCGAGACAAATTGCACCAGGCTCACAGCGCGCCAAGCTGATGAAGGAGGTCCACACGTGCATGAGATGGAAACATGCTGCCAATGTTGTAACCACTAAATGCAGATTGCCGAACATCTCCGAAATTCAAAATCACTCGCACACCTTCAATCAGCAACTGGCGACATGTTGTGATTTCGCGAATCCACACTGCCGCTTCGTTTTCCCACCTCCAAGAAGTGTCTGATACCAAGAAGCTCCACCGCACCATTGGTGGGTTTGTGTGGCACGTGATCGCCCAAGGAGATCCTCACTCACCATCGATGGAGGCCAAATGGCACGCCCAAGCCATTCCGATCTTTGTTCAAAATCCCATCAGCACAATCACCCACTTCAATTGGCCCAGCATTGACGAGCTCACACCATTTTCGGAGCTTCGTTATCTACCATACCTGAAAGCCGTTGGAGGTGAAATTGATTATACGAGAGGGTTTTGTAATTTGAAGAGTGAACTTAAGTCCTGATTGCTATTTTCTTCCACTTACACTTCACCTCTCACAAATCTGTATTCTACAAACACTCCACTATATTTAGCGTGACCAGGAACACCCGTAGAGTATATGCCATTAACTCTTTTTTAAGCCCTTGGTTAAAAACACAAAGCAACATGGTCCTACGATAATTATAAGTTTTTTTTGTTTGATTGTCTGATTTTCAAAGTGTTTTTTCGGGGTTTCTCTGATTTCCCAAACTACGGGTTTGAAAAAATCTGATTGGCCTAGACAACAGTTTGAGATTTCTCTGAAAATTTCAGACTTGGTGTACAAGTTTCTCTGATTTTTAGACAAGCGTTTCGAGTTTCTCTGAAACAGAGACATACAGGTGTTACACGCATGCCCCTTGTTTCACGCCGCCACACGGGATTCCTCCTTGTCCCTGTTTGACAGCAGCCATGAATCTTCCCCTCCCGAGCCCTCTCGTGCTAGAGAAGTTGTGACTGAACACTTGACAGTTTTGCAGCGAAGTGGACCAGTCACACGCAGCCCTCTGCACTGCAGCACATGACTAGGTTGGACAACCCACGGCGGGGAGAAGACTGTTCAATTATATATGTTAGTATATAATTGTAGGCTTGGTAGACGTTACTGAACATTTCTGTAGAGGGTACAACACCCCTCCTTGTATCCCTCTCTCTTCTTTTCTAAGGCCCTCTTTTCTCTCGTCAAACTCTCCCTCCTAGTTCTCCTAGCTCATAAAACCTCACGCCACTTTCATGGCGTCCTAGTTTCAAGTTCTGACATGGTTTCAGAGCAGGACGCCCTTCCCGGGCCTGCTCTCCACGCTTCCGCCACGTACTCGTCCTTACTAGGACGCCGTCGCGGCCTTCTGTTTGCTTGCCGCCGTGGCACATTTTCCGAGATGCCGCGGTGGCCTCTGTGTGCTGTCGTCTCAGCATCGACGAGCAGCCGCGGCTCCGACGCCACGCTGTGGTGGCGTCGTAGTGGTGCCGTGGCGGTGTCGTCGGCCTATTGCCGTCGCGCACCACCTGCGTCGCTGCTGGACTTGCAGCCCGCCCGCACGCCAGTCAGCGCCGTGCCAGCAATGGCGCCGCGCTGAAGATCCGAAGCCCCGCCCCTTCCCCCTTCCCTCTTTCTCCTCCTCTTCGCCACAGCCGCCGCCTGACTCTCGCCGGTCGTCCTCCTGTCGCGGAGCTTGGACACGCCGCCGAAAGGGCGGGGGCCGCTGCCGTTACCGGAGTCGTAAGCCGAAGCCGTCACCGTCGCCGCTGTCGTCGCCGGAGGCCTGTTGCCGCCGCACACCGCCGTCGCCGTTGCCGGGACTGCCGCCGTCGCCATCTCCAGGGCCTTGGGGTTGGCCCTGCTTGAGTAGTCGTGGCTGCTAGGAATGGGGGTGCTAGGTTAGGGGGTGTGGGGTGTGTGGGTCCTTATGCTATCAAGCCTAGGGGGTGTGTTAAATTATATATGTTAGTATATAGTTGTAGGCTTGGTAGACGTTACTGAACATTTCTGTAGAGGGTACAACACCCCTCCATGTATCCCTCTCTCTTCTTTTCGAAGTCCCTCTTTTCTCTTGTCAAAATCTCCCTCCTAGTTCTCCTAGCTCCTAAAACCTCACGCCACTTTCATGGCGTCCTAGTTTCTAGTTCTGACAAAGACTTCACCGCATACGCTCCCTGGCCTCTTTTCCACCCGTTTCTTGCTGCTGCGGCACTCACAAAAGCAGCAGGAAGTTCCGTTCTTCATCGGCATCTTGGTCGCTGTCCATTCTTGTTTTGTTTTCCCCCACGCCATTGTGACCGAAGACAGGACTGTTAAATTACATATATATATGTATATATATATATGTATATATATATATGTATATATATATATATGTTTAGGCTTGGTAGGATTGCTACATTGCTGGATCCTACTGTAGAGGGGACAACCCCCTTCTTGTACCTCTCTCTCTTTCCTAGTTGCTCTCTTTTCTCTCGTCAACTTTTTCCTACCCTAGCTTAAACCTCTCGCTAATTCTATGCCTAGCTCCTAAGCTCTCCTTTAACAGGCACTGGAGATTATCAGCCTGTTAAGTGTAGCCGAGCCCCACCGCTCATGCGAGGCTTAGACTTCGTGCATTCCATTCTAAGCACACGCGGACCCCTGGTGCAACATCCTCACGCCGCTCTGCCACTACCAACAAGAGGCCAGCACCTTTCGCTGCCAATCCATCGTCAACTCATGCGTGGACTCGACCATAAGTTCCAGCCCCTCATCACCCCACCCCACTCTAGTTACTGCTTGAAACTTGTGAATATCCAGCCCGCTCATCACCCACCCCCTCAATCACCCCACCCTTGTCCCTCCGCATCTCGCGCATCAAGACGACGGTGGATTTTCTGTCAGCGCGCAAGCCAAAGGCTCCAACAAGCCGCATTCCTACTTCATAGTCGCGCCTGCTGCCGGGTGCAGCAAGTGCACAGCCACACTGGGACATAACAATGTGAGGGAATGCGCGTATTACTGCTCTTGTGGGCTGTGGTGGTCACTTGCTCTGCTAGCATTGCATACTTATAAACATGACTCTAAAATAGTGCAGTTTCATAGCAACAGTCTTCCAGATTAGTTAGGCAATTTTCTATGTTTTTTCAGACATGGTTTTCACCTCTCTCTGCAAATTCAGACAAGGTTTTACGATTTCTCTGAATATGAAAAGTGAATCAGACAAAGTGTGGAAAACTAGTCTGATCCTTTTTTTTTTTTTTTTTTTTTGGGGGATTTCAGGAGATCCCAGGAGGAAACCAGGCCCCCTTTCCCACGCCGATCCTCCTGCGAGCCCCTGGGGGGAACCCTGCAAGTCTGATCCTTCAAACACATTTTTTTCCAAAAGAGAACCCTGCAAAGCAGGCGATAACTTGAAACTTGTATATTTTTTGCAGGCAATTTTTTTTCCCTGCTTTTGGCTCTGAACAAAATATGAACACAACCAAAACCGGAAGCGATAAGGAAGGAGGACAGTCATTGGCACGCGACATTGGCATTTTATCAGCGACACCCAAAGTTGCTGCACGACTAAACCTCCCTCGTCGCCAAACCTAGCTCAACGATCACGCTGGCGACCAGCCTCCCCTGGCGTTTTCAAGAGTTCCCCCACTTTGCTTTTGGTGCAGTGTACTTGCTAGTCGTTTTGCTTGAACGTAGCGTTCTAGGCGGCATAGTAACACGATAGGAGCCGTAACTAATGCCTTTGGGCGACATTCCGCCAAGGAATGCGTGTTAGACGCGCGACACATCGTCCTCGTCAGACAAGCATGCGACACCCGCGACGACCATAACGCAACAGAAAAAAATTCATTAACTCCTGCAAATCGGATACGATGCCCTCCCCACTTCCACCGTCGAGTTATGCTCCCCTCCCCGCTCTTCGATCGCGCTCTCGTTGCTCCCACCTCTACCATCGCGACACGTTT